GATTTTTCTCCAAGAAATTTTAATGAATTTTATCAGTTAGAAGTCGTGTACAGTTGCCAGTATAAATCGTTTTATGCTATGAATGACGCTTTGGATGAGATTATTTCTTTTCTTACTGATGGAAGAGGAACCTGGAAGGTTAAGAAAGGTGTTAAGGTAAACTTTTCTCTTTTTATGTTAAATGTAGTATCTAAGGTCTGGCACTATTTCTGGCACTATTCTGGCACTATTTTATTTCTGGAAGAATGATATCAACAAATCATCATAGTGAGGTTACGAAGGATAAAGCCATCCTTAACTTCTGTATCCAGCAGGTGATGAGGATAAATGTTGGCTCTTTTATTTATATGAACACTCGATCTATTGCTTTGGGAGAGACCACTGGTGGTTTAACACACTCTGCTCTGATCTTCACACTCTGTGAACAAGAAGGAATTGATTTTAGACTAGAGGAGGATAGGATTGAGCCTCTAAAACCTATTGGGTCTGCCAATTTGAAGACAAATGAATCTCATGTTGGATGAAGTTATAGAAGTAAGACCAGAGATATTCCTTCTACTTGGAGGACCCCTACTTCTAGTGACCCTACTCTTCTAGAACTTATGGAGTAGATGATGATCCAGCAGGGAGATATCTTGAGAACGAATCATAGAATGGAAAACATGGAGGACCTAAATGCTCACACTGATGATTTGATAAGAAAAAAGTTTGAATATGATGCTGCTTATGAAGATGCGATGCCCAGATATATGAAGGGTGATCACTCAGTTCAGTTTCCTACTCACCCTGTCTTTACTCTATATCAGCAGCAGAATTTGAATGTGGAAGAAGAAGAAGAAGAAGACGATGATTGGTTATATGTTAGTTTGATCTTTCTTTTAGTTTATGTTTGATTGTACTTTATTATTTTGTTGTTTTCTTTGTTATATTGTTGAGACTTTATATTTAGATTGTGAGACTCTATTTTATTTTAGATATTATGTTGTGAACTGTAGGATTGGAAAACTGTTTGCTATTTGAAATTCAGTTTAGTACTGTTGTTAGTTTTAGCATTTTGTTAGATGTGTTGTAAAAGATGTTGTAATTAACTCTTTCTCAGCAGTTTTTATGTGTATTATATGTTATTTAAAGATTTTAAGTCATGTAGTTTTTCATATTAGCACCTGCAATATTTCAGAATTAAGTTTCAAAAATCAGAACTTCAACAGGTATGTCTTTTCTTTATGTATTAAATGTTTTCTTTCACCCTTTATTTTTAAGTTCTTTATGCTAAATATCTTAAAAATTTAAGTTTACGGGGAAAGAAAAATTTATTTTTAAAGAAAAAAACTTAATTTTATTTGTCCTCATTTAGCTATATTTTCAAAAATTTTAAATTTAACATGACTTGTGGTATTAGAGGTTAACTTTAGATAATAATATTTATGTTTCTAAATATATAGTAAATTTAAGTAAAAATTTGCAATAATAAGTGTTAATTTTAGAGATTAAGATATTTGGTATGAGAGAATAAGACTATGTTTTTCTATTTTTAAGTAAATAAATTTGTATTTTTGAAGTATTAAAAATCTTAGAGATTCATGTAAGAAGAAAAGAATAAAACTTTATGAAAAATTTTTAAGCTAATATAAATTTATAAAGTTAAGGAGTGTGAAAAGCTTTTAACTTTAAGAAGAGGATAGTGAAGTTCAAAATCACTAAAGGCTATCCAGATCTAGTAATCTTCACCTAAAAAATAAGAGAAAAGAAAAAGAAAAGAAAAATAATTAAAAATGGTCCTGAAAAAGAAAAGAAAAGAAAAGAAAAAGATGTAGAGAGAAGCTTGAGAATATGCCTAATTAAAAATTGGCTTCACTTGAATCAACTTAAAGAAGAAGGCTGATTTGCAAATTTTCTTGAAAAAAATAGAGAATCAGAAATCTTGGACTTATTTGTTGGATAATCTTATACCTTTAGTATTAACTGGAGTTGTTTTGAATTTTTCTTAAGTTATGTTATTATGTTTAGGGGACTAAAGTATGGAAATCTAGAAGATTTATTTCTTTATCATAAGTCATATTTTTATGTAGTAAAGGAGTTACTTGAGGACAAGTAACATGTAAGTTTTGGGGATTTTGATATACCAAAAATATATACATTTTTATACCCATATTTTATACTCATTTTTTGTGATATTGCACATTAATGGAAGGTATTTTTCATGCTTTCTTGCAGGTTGTTGATTTTTAGGAATTGGAGCAAAAAAGAAGCAAAAAGGATGAACTTTGGAGTCAAAATGGAGTATATGAAAATTTGTTCAGCGCTGACGGGGTCGTTTAACAGAGAGCGGCAAATTAAATAGAAGACCACTGACGTTGATAGCGCCAGTGTCGGTGCAGACCCTGTTTCTAGAAGATTCGATGAATTTTGACGCTTTTAAAGAGTTTTTGGACGCACCTATTGGAGAACCGACTCTATGTTATATTAAGAGCCAAAATTGATCAGCCGAAATTAATCAGAAAAATGACTCTTCCTGACTTCTCATCGCCCAAAATTCAACCTCTTACACACCACACACTCTTCCATTTCATTCCACAACCATTTAGAGTCCATTATTCTTATAATTTAGAGTTTTTGTGGTGAGATTAAGTGTGATTTTTTTCTCTAAGAGTTGTTGGAGAAGGAGACAAGTGAGAGATTTCTTTATCCTACACTTCCTAGGAGAGGCTACAAGAGATTTGCTTTGAGAAAGTGTTTCAGATAAGTGTTGTTTGTTTAGTAGTGTTGTATGAACTTTCTTTTGTATATAAAATTTGTGTTTTGTTATATTTTTCTCATGAAGTCTGAGTAGTTTCCTTTATCTTTCTCCCTACTCTAATATGTGGTGAAATGAAGAGGTAATATGGATGTGCCAATGTTAAAATATAAAATAAATTTTGATGGTTTTTCAACTCCGAACTTAATTTACATTTCGATCTGGCCAATTGAATTGTTAAAATTTGTTGTGAAACATATGATCCGGGAAATGGAGTATGAGTTCTACAACAAAGTGAGAATCACATTTAATTCCATAAAGGAGAATTTCGTTCATGGAATTAAGTGCAAATAAATAGGAAAATATACATTGTTGGGTGTAGAATTGGAGATTTTAGGGTGACAGACTAAAAATCCCCAATTTGGTTTTATTGTTTAAGAACTAAGAGAGAGTTAGCATTTAGGGGAAGGGAAGTGGGAGCTCTGAAGTGGGAGCCAGTATCCTCCTAACCTAGCCATGGATTTAAGGACTAAACCTAGGATTAACCAATAATTTTCTATAACACTATATCAGGGAAGAAAATTAAAGTTGCTCCTATTTGACACAATACATATTCTAACCATTTATCTCATCTCATTTTACCAAAATCTCATTGTCGTGGGAAAGATGTTTTTTCACATAAGAAATCTTCATCATATAAACATAGTTTAATAGTTTAATAGTTTAGTAGTTACTGTTTAAACTTTGCATTTCAGTTTTTCTAGTAGTTAAATAATTTAGTGCTGATAATATCTCAACATTCGAAATTAGTTACAGTAACTTCGTTTTACTTTCTGTGAATTTCTTAGTTAATTTATCATTTCAAATTTAAATCTTCCCCGTGGGATCGATATTTGACGCTTAAATAGAAAGTTCTTTATTACTTAATAACGATACGTATACTTGCGTAGAATCCCAACATTAATTGCTTAAATTTCTTAATTATATATAGAGCATCAAGTTTTTGACGCTGTTACATAGCGGAGTAAAATTTATAATTTTTTTACACAACTATATTTCCTCGGGATCAAACTCCTAAAGATTCTGAATTATCCTCAAGTTTTGTTTTATTGTTAATAGTTTTTGCTGGAGTTCATCCTTTTGCTCGAAGGTTTGAATATTTTTCCCTACAAAATAGAGTTAGCAAACCCTAATAACATGCAAGTAGATATAGGGTGATGTCCATCTTATGTCTTTAGCAACCTTGTAAAACAAAGTTAATATGTTTTGGTTTTATCGTTTAGTTGTTATTTTTATTTTAGATAACCCAATTACGATGCCCATACCTTTCCATCATCCTAGAGTTGTCAGGTTTCATTATCTACTTAGTTATGAATTATCGCATTGATTTGCTTGATGTTAGCGCCACTGGTTAATAAATAGTTTTCATGTCTTTATCGTAGCTGTCACAATCAAGGAGCAAAAAACTCAAAGAACTAATATGTATACTTATTAATTGTTTTCACGAATCTCGAAATAATCGAGCGGCCCAGCATAGTACCGGATGATCGCGGTGTCATACCAAAAGAGCATGATATGAACCGTTCCCTCTACGACTGGTCCTTTGGTCATAGTCAATTAACATACTATGACGAGAGATTTAATCGACAGACCACGCCCGCAATGATAGCCTAAAGGCTCCTTACAAGAGTGTCTAATTGTAGCAAGTCGGTCGGCCAATTCCTTACTTCAGCAGGTGCAATTGCCTTCTGACCGGTCACTACAGGCGACCGAATTAAAACGTGTTAACTAGTGAGTTACTGTCATATTCAAATTCAAATTGCAATATATAATTAGTATAAGATCAGGACAATTAATCGCATTGAGAGTGGTTTTCATAACTGTTCCCTCCTTTCTGTAACTGTACAAATACATCTCTATAAATAAAAGGTGAAAAGACGAATGAATGAGCTTTTTCCCAAGTTTCTCTACAAGAATTTGCCTAGTTACTCCCTCTTTCCACCTCTTTTCCTCCTCCCGACTTTAACTCTCAACACTTGTTCACAAATCACAAATTAGGATTCAACAAGTGGCTATTATAATTAAAAAAAAATTCAAATTATTGTAGTCATCATAGTTAACCAGATCTGATGGCAAAATTTCTGTAGAGAAAACAGAAGAAATATAATTTTCCTTGAAAAGATTTATGGTACAACACCTTAACGTCCAACTAAATTGATTAAATTTGCATCCAACAAAATTAATTCAGTGAACAAACGTAGGCCCAACAAGATCCGCAAATGGAATTCGAAATTTATGAATGCATTCACTTGTGCGGAACGAGAGTAAAAGTTGAGTCAAGACCACCAAACCCCACTCAGTGAAGAAAGAACACTTCGCACCAGTACACGGGCAAGCAATAATTTCTCCTCGGTGAACCACAAACATCCTCTAATTCAAACGAACATCTTTCTTATCGTCAAAACACCCACCTTTCTTCTGCCTCCCCCGCTGCGATAGCCATCAAAATGCTCCGCCGGCGTCTTATACTCTTCCTCCTCCCAGTCTCAGCCCTCTCATTAAACACCACATGTCCCTACGAAATCCCCTACGCCGCCCGGATGATTCCATCAGTTTGCTACGCCAATTCCACCTCCTACCCATCCGCCACCAGCTGCTGCTGGTACGTCTTCGCCGCCTACATCTACGCCGCCATTCGCTACTCCAACCTCACCGGCGCAGCCTTCCTGCCCCCTTCAACCGCCTCCTCCTGCTCCTCCAGTTTCTCCTCCTACCTCCTCCGTGAAGGCCTCGCTGGCCCCTCTCTTCTCGCCAGCTCCTCCTGCAACCTCGACGGCGACCCCGTCCGCCTCGCCGCCGGCAACCGCCCCTGCCAATTTCCCACCGTCTCCCTCATCCGATCCTCCACAGATCTCTCCCCCGCCGACATGCTCTGTTCCTCCCCTCCCCTCAATCCCGACTCCCACCCACTCCTCTGTTCTCAATGTCAGACTGCCGTCATCAACTCGACTTTCTCTCTCCTCAACGTCACCAACAGCGAGCAGATCGTCCCCTGCGGCATGGCCACCACCATCGCTATCTGGTCACCTCACAATCCCTCTCTCCCCCGTTTCCGGTCTTTCGCATTCTGTATGCTCCAGATCCTCCAAAACATTGGCAACTTAGGCACCGGTAACATCCTTCCTTCCCCTCCTGCACCTCCTCCTCCTCCTCATCCAATAACCTCGTCTAGCATCTCCGGCTCCCGACACGCCAAAATCGTCGCCGGATCCTCTGCCGCTGGCGTTACCTTCTTCATCTTCATCGTCGCGTTCCTATTTCTCCTTTTCCGGAGAAAAAACAAAACTTTTGATGGGGAACTCGCCGCTCCCAGCGAAATCATCTCCCCTGTTCTACCCAGAGAGGGTCTGTACATATTCACCAAGGCGGAGCTGCAGCAAGCGACTAATGGGTACGATGACCGGCTCCTCCTTGGAAAGGGTGGCGCCGGAAAGGTTTACTTAGGTAAGCTCCCTTCCGGCCAGCAGGTGGCAATTAAACGCATCTACCGCGAGAAAAAGCTCTGCGAATTCTACCGCGAGGTCGAGGTGCTCGCCATGCTCCGGCACCGGTACCTCACGACTCTCGTGGGATACTACCAAGGGGAGCGCTACGAACATGCGCTAGTATACGAGTACCTGGCCGGCGGCAACCTCGCCGGAGCTCTGGCCAATGGAATCGGACTAACTTGGCGGCAGCGCCTCCGTATAGCGGTGGAGGTAGCCGAGGGGCTCGTCTATCTCCACATGTTTCCAGAGGGCGCGGTGGTTCACCGCGACGTGAAGCCGACCAATATATTATTAACGGAAGGCGGCGCCGTTGCAAAGCTGTCGGATTTCGGTGTGTCGAAGATGTTGCCGCAGGAGGGGAGCCATGTGTCGACGGAAGTGAAGGGGACGATGGGGTATATGGATCCGGAGAGCTTCTCCGTAGGCCATGTATCGGAGGCCGCCGATGTGTACAGCTTCGGCGTCGTGCTTCTGGAGCTCGTCACCGGGCTGAATGCTATTGTCCACACGCCGTCTGGTGGTGCGGAGTCCATCGTTCATGCTTCTCGCGATGCGGATGCGGACGGAGATGTGGAGTCGATCGTCGATCAACGGTTTGGTTCGTCGTGGGATCAGACGACGGTGAGGGCGGCGTTCGAGCTCGCTCGGCGCTGCGTGAGGCAGTACAAGAAGGATCGGCCGGCGATGGGGGAAGTGCTGGGCGAACTCAGAGGTTTGCTTGCTGACCTCGATGCGAGGGGAGGTGATGGAAGCATCGTGGAGTGCTTGTCGGCAGACAAGTCGCCGACTGGTCTTTCGGGGACGACGACTTCGGAGGAGCCGGTGTGGGTGTCGGAGGGGAGTACGGATCAGGACAAGGTATATAATTAAAGAAAAAACAAAGGGAGATCAGGGGCTTTAGATGCCAAATTATTAGGGAGGAAGGGATGAGATGATTATTTTTTGTTTTTAAAATTAATTTTGGTTTATTGATGGCTAAAATAGTTGTGATGATGGAGAAGTGTATGTCAATATTAAATTTGAATTTTTTTTTGGAAATTTACATGCATGGCAACTACTTATAATGGATTTACCAGTATGGTACATAAATTCTATTTTTTATATTTAATATCACATTAAATAATAGCACTTTTTAACTATGTGAAAGTGATGTATATATTTTTTATGAATAAATTAGATAATGTAAAAATTGAGTGATATCTATGTGAAGCTTTCGAATAAATTTCTTTTGACCCGTATAATTCGTGACCTCTTATAGTATAGTAAAGAACTTGAGAAAGAAGTTAGAAATAGGAGGGGAATTTTTAAAAGAAATATCATAAAAGTTTTTTTTTTTTGGATTTAGAATTGAGCTTCCTCTCCTTCCAATTTCTTTTTATTTATATTTTATGGAATCTATGAACCCGAGCAAAGGTCTAAAGAGTAAAATATAGAACAATGTTGTAAACCATATAGTATGATGTCAGAGCAGACTCGTTGTCAACAAGACTGTCATGTTGGTTGTCATACTTTTAATAAATGATAGTATATATGCTGACATAGTGGAGTTATCTTCCTTTTGCCTCGAATAATTGTCTGTTAAACTTGGTGGCGTAGCTAGGTGATTGTCGACGAGTTTGGTGGGAAGGTCCAACCAACTAATAAGAGTTTAAAATAAGAACTCGAACAATGTGAGTGAATTTGATTTGAAGAGCTCGCTTAAAGATTAATACTGGATAAACTCGTTCTGAGGAACACACAGGAATGCTGACATGCTTTGGAGGTACTCGTGAGATCCTTCTAGGCGACAAGGAAATCTGTAGCTTGCTAGTTCCAAAGGTAAAACTAATAAGTACAATTGATTATCATAGCCCAACACAAAGTGTGTTGCTGGTGAGTTTGATCCATTATACTCATGAGACTTGTTTAGTGCTTGGGCTTTTATGTTGCTAAAAGAAACTCATTTTTTGATTAGTTTTCTGATTCTCATAGCTTTTTGACATGGTATTGTGAGTAGGATGAGAGAATGAGAAATAAGAAAGTAACATTTGTTCATGGTTTGAGGAAGGAGATGATTACACTAGGCATCATGCCCTATTAGGTCTATTCGGAGACATGTTTATTCATATTCAATCGAAATGGTGTTTTTCACGACCAATAAGCTTTGCAATCTATGCCTTGAAGAGTAGTTGCAAGAGTTTACCATTGAGCTCGAATTTTCCTTCCTCTAAAGGCTTGGAAGCTTCGCCTATAAGGTGTAGTCGCAAGCACTCTTGGGAAATTATAGATTGTTCCTCATTTAGATGCCTTCGCTTTTTAAGTGATGGAAGAAACTAATTTCATGATTATGACTCATAGATGTTTTAGAAAAATTCCTATTTACCAAGTTAGCCCGGGGCACAAGCACATGTTGTTATAAGAGACATGACTTATCTTAGCCATCAGGAGATATAAATACTCTTTAGAAGTGGTGGAGTAGAATGTGAAAAGTTCAAAACTTACCTGTTATAGAGGATGTGTTAGTGTTAAGTTATGAAAATTGTCAGAGAATGACTGGTATGTTAGTGCTAAGTTATGAAAATTGTCAGAGAATGACTATCAAATCATCCAAAATGAGTACTAACGCTCGTTGCATTTATCAATACATTGTCACCTTGTCCTAAATAAAAAATGATAATGTTAGTAACAGCGGAATTAATTTTAGTAATTATAAGAAGAGGTTTCTTTTATGTTAACTCCCAGTGTGATATTTAATACACACCAATTCTTATGGAACTTTTGTGAGTCGTAGGCTTCGTTCTTGTTCTTCATCCCTTTGCTTTCAAGAATTTATTGTTAATTTTATCCTTCTTTGATGGGAAAGATTTCTAAAGAAGAGTTGGATATCCCAGAAGAACTATTGAAAGTGATTGTCTACTGAAGGCCGAAGAGAGGGAAGTGTTCTAAGGGCTCACACAATTCGAAAGGAAAGGATGGCAATGCAGAGAGCCCAAGGCCAAAAAAGTGAAATGGTTCCCAAAAATCCCTGGGGAGTGCTACAACCCTAAACGTGGGCTTAGAAATTGATCTGAATGAAATGACTAGAAGAAATGTTAGTGTTGTGAGTTATGGATCCTATGCATGGGTAACCAACAGTTTTAGTTATAAAATTTGTTGTTGCATCACTGATTTCCGATTCTTCACACTCCCAAAACTAAATTCTTGGCGACTTTGTGTTGGTTCTTTCCATCATTTTAGGTTTTTTTTTTTTTGGTTTTGCGCTTCTACTGGTATTCTTTGGTCAAATGGCCTCATAGTTTTGTCTCATTGGTGTAACGCCCCAAGAGTTCTCCCACATAGGAGTGTCCTAGCATGAGCACACTTAACAATGGAGTTTCTATTGAAGTTTCACTATTACACCAAAAGACGGTCATATGTTTAAGAGTTTGACTTCAATCTACTTAAGGGGTTTCACAATATTCCCAATGTAAGTACCTGACATCCTCATTATTATTTTATTCCTAGAATCAGCAACCAGGAAAATAATAATCTAGAGGTGACTTCTACAGATTCAAGAGGTAAGGCATTACACTTAAAATTGTCACTTTCCAACACAAGCTATATCACAAACCTTCTTGCTAGACTTCCTATCATTAATTAACATAATCCCTTATCACGATCTTAAATATAAATCAATTTAATAAATGTAAAAGATGCCACTTTACGTATGCATGAAAGGGTGTATTTTTGATGTGATATGAAAGGTTTGAGTAGTATAAATGTAAAATTGTTCATCTTGCACTCTATTCTTTTTGTTTCTCTCTTGTTACCCCCTTCCGTATGCTCTATCCCTCGAGGGGTGCTCTAAAGGAAAATTCAGAAGCGGTTTTACAAGGCTTGAGCACTACATGATGGATGATGAAAATGCATGACAAAGTTATAATAGAATGAAGATTGTTGCTTGATGCATTCGATCTATGAGCTGAAGTTTCATATGAGATCATGTGTATGTCCATTGACCATCTTGTGTCATAAATTTATACATGAAATTGTGCATTTTATTTTTAGAAATAAAATGATAATAATTTTTTTTTTATATGATGCTAAACAGTTAGTGATATCTACACTTGAAACTAAAAGGCAAAGAGCTAAACAATGTAGCATTAACACTGTGTGCCATAGTGTTGTATCAATGTTACAGCACTGTACCTAGTGCAACATGTGCTGACAACTCAATCAGATTGTTATTGAACTTACAATTAAAATTTTAGAAGAGGAGTTATGGACGGGTAAGAAATGGCTTTAAGAGTGTGTATAAGTGTGTTATGTGGAGAGACTTGATGTTGTATTAAGTGGAGTGAGTGTTAGTGTGAGTGTGCGCCACATAGCCTAAAAGAGTGTATAAGAGTGCAAGGAAGTGAAGGATAGAAAGCAGAACTTGGGAAGGACTTCACCGAGGTGATTTTGAGATTGTGATCAAGGGAGTTGGGTACATTTTTTGCTATTTCTATTCTTATATATATATATATTATTATACATTTATGTATGTTTATTTGATGTTAAAAGGTTTGTTAATGCTTTGTTAAAAAGCATGCTAGACTAATTGTTTGGTCTTTGGATTTGTGATTTATTGAGCAAATTTTCATCAAGTTAAGAGTTTTAGGCGCTTAAAATTCGCAATTACTTCTTTACTTTTCTTACCACCAAATTTAGCTTGTGTAATGACTATACATGTGTCTAAACTAAAATGTGATTTTGTGATATCGATAAATTCCAAATGAGCAAAAGGATATGAATAACTATGCTTTGGTAGAAAGACACGTCCACTCAACTATAACAATCAAATAGGGAGATTGTGAATTCAATTATCTTATTTCAAATTACAGAAATTTTGAGATATTAGAATTAAGGTTCTATTTATCGACAAAGACTAGTGCTATGTTTGCTCTCAATTAACAGTAACCTTGTTTTGAGACTCGCAATTTATGAAATTTGTTTTTATCATTTGCAAATTGAGAAACTTTATTTCATTTGAATTTTTACTATTAAAAATTTTTCGTAAAAAATTTTAAATTTTCTTTTAATTAAATAGAAATTTGTTTTTTTGTGAATTAGTAATAAGTTTTCTCAACTAGAGTTCGCTTAGATTCTCATGGGAATGACCTTGAAGTCCAATCACTTATATTATTTTTTACAACATGTACACTTATGCATAATTCATGTCACAAAATAATGAAATTAGCTATCCTAGATTACACACAAAAATCTTTTAATCTTGTCTCCCCTCCTTCCAAGAGAACAATAATTCTAATTATTGTACAATGCTATAAAGATCTAACAACTTTGAATTCCCTTCATCACTTATCTCTAGGATTGTATTAGTTTGTTTACCTTTAATGACCACATTGATCTTTTTATACCTCTCTTTTATTACTTTCAATTCATAACATATTTTCTCTCAAGAAATGATTATTTTTGAAACCTTCTAATAACCTTTGTAACCTTCCCATTTTTCATCGTTTGTTGCCTTATGACTTTGTTGGTGTTGCTCTAAACGAGTGAACTAACATTATTAACTCTATCCACTACATAATAAATTTAAGGAAAAAAAAACTCCATCCACTTCACAAACCTTGTGTTGCCAAAAATAAGATTAATATTGATGGTAGAGGTTGTATAAAGATTAATATTGATGGCAGCTTTAAGAATCATGATGCAGATTGTGGTGGTGTTTTCAGGTAATGCTTTCGCAAATGTTTAGCTTGGTTTGTGGCTCCTATTTTTCTTGTTTCTCCTTCAGGTGCTGAAACTGAAGCTGTTATTACAGCCTTATATATTGCTAAATGTTGTAATTGGAAGTGTACTCAAGAGGAGATGGATGCTCTTTTGTTGTGGAAGTTATGCACTTTAAAGCTGGAGTATCCAGGGATTATACAGCTGCAAATGAAGAAAATTTTTGAGTTTACATTGGATTTACAAGTTTTTTGGTCTCATATTCTAAGAGAGGGTAATAAACCAACTAATTGGTTGGCTCGTTTAGGTTGTTCTTTGCAAAATATTATTATGTCCAATTCCCTACCTTTTTATTTGTCCACTCATTTACAGGGTGATAGAATTAATTTACTTGTTTTTAGATTTGTTCCTTCTATTTTTTTATTTGTGGTGTGAGTTGTAATTCTGGGTGAAGGATCCTTGGGTTATTCTGGTGTGAGTTTTAATTCTCAGTAAAGGGGGACATCCGACCTGTTGAACATTTTTGAATAGTAGCAATAAATTTTCCTACGTCGTTCCTTAGAAAAAAAAATGTCTTGTCAAATAAGAAGTCTAGCAAAGCCTCAAATTTTAGTGTGTTGTTTCAACTCATCAATCACATTCAAGGAACGACGAATGTGTGATTTATATTTCATACTAAACAATAGCGGAAATTATTTCAACTAGCAAGACCTCGTGATTTATCAATTTGTGGGCTTCTTATGTAAAAAACATTAAGTTTCTTCAATGCAACCCATTTCTCTTGTAATGTGAGATTATTTGTAGTTAAAGCAGTCAAATTTCCCTAAATCAACTCTACTTCTCTCCAGCAATAAAAATATTTTCAATAAATACTTCTTTTTATATAATTTTTAATAAAGAAAATTTATAATTTAATATTTTTTTTTTGTACTGGAATGTGAATATTTAAGGAATATTTATATAATCTATAACTTATGTAAACATAATAATAAAAATAATAATTATCACAAGGTTTGTTGGGCTCTGACTAAGGGTTTGTTTGGCGCAGCTGTTGATTATTTATAATCTACTGATAAGCAGATTATTCTGATAATCTAATAATCTTCAGATTATCAAAATAAGTTAGTTTGTTGTTTGGGGGAGCTTATTTAGAATAACTTATTGATAGCTGTTGCTGGATAAATGATCATTCTGCTCCTGTTTGGTGAAACTGTTTGTAACAGAATTGTATGTAATCATTTAATTTTCTTATAACTATTAACTTATTAGCTAATAAATTTTGATTAATCAATTATTAATTACATACATGAAGAATTTCTTTAAAATTTATTAAATAACTTAAAATTTTGTTATATTTTTATTATTTAATCGAATATTAAGTAATTACATACAAATTTATCTAATATAATTAAATTGATGATATACAAATTAATTATAGATTCTTAAATTAATTATAATTAAAATTTTGATATAATTAATTATAGATTCTTAAAATTATGATATACATTAAATTTATCTATTAAGAGAATAGATATTTAAAATTTTGGATACATCCGTAGAATAGATATTTTTATTTTATTCCCAAACCCTCGCTTCCTGTCACTCTCGGTTTCGCCCAAAACGATCGCCTTCGTGAACGAACCTTCGCGATAGTCGCCATTAGAGAGCTAGCTGGGAAGGCAACGACGGGATCGCGGTTTACAGCGACTACCGCAACTACCGTCTCTCTCCGATCCACCTTCGTGATCGACGGGATTCGCGATAGTCGTCATTCTTCCTCTTCGCTTGGTGAGAGGGCCACCTAGGAGACGAAGGAATCAGCTAGGGCGAGAGCAAGGTCGAAGGGGCACCAGAGGAATTTCTCACGCTAACGCGGGAAGCAGACGCAGGTCGCAATTTCTTCCCCGCTTTGTCTTTTATTAAAACAATCTTGTAAGTGCGTCCGATGGTAGTAATAATTTTCCCCAAACGTATTTTCAAACACCTCTACTGCATTTTCATATCGCCATCTCACCCCAATAAGCTGCCCCAAACGGGCCCTTAAGTAGCTCTTGAGATTATTTGGGCTATTTCGGGCAACAACAACGCAACAGAAAATTATTTAATAATATATCACGTCTTCTAAATTATAAACTATGATTTAGCTTTTAAAATAATTGTAAAAAAAAGCCGTGATTCTCCTTATCTAGTGAGCCAACGAACTCTAATAAATGGCCATATATCGGAACATCTATTTTGGGAAGATTGACTGACACATATATCCAACTTAGTTCTTATATATTTACATATCTAATATCTAAACTTTAATTTTTATATGTATCATATCTTGCTCTTAAAAAATTGATAAAATAATGATTTTCTCATATGATATAAAAGATTTGGGTGGTATAAATGTAAAAAATAAAATTTAGTTATGAGATCTACAAAACCATAAGAATTGGGTGGTATGTTTTTAAATGAACTTTTCTTTCTCGCTTTACCATCCACCGCTCTTTTTATAAAGGATGAAGACGTGATCAAATATCGCGATTTATAATATTCCTAGAAGTTGTTAAGCGAGTCATTGTCTCTTAACGAGCTCCATGAGAGGAAAAATTTTTCGATACGTTATTCGCACGGAGAGCACCGTGACAGCTAGAAATATCATGTTGTAACAGCTATGAAATATCATGTTGTACATTAAGAATCTTGCTTCCAAAAAACTTATGTTTAATAATATCATAATATATATTAAAAATCTTGCTCCTAGGGCGTTACAGTCCAATTTCAAGTGGAACTCGGCTTGTTTATTTCAATCTGATCTCGATTCGAGCCAAAACTAGAATCAATTTTCAAACAATTAATGATCTTCGAGCTCAATTCACTAAATTCACAGTCATAAGTGGTTCATTTAAATTTGAGCCAAAATTCGAATCAATCTTCTAGCGATTAACGATCTTTGAGCTAAATTCACAGCCCTAAATATGGGAGAGTTGTTTTTTGTCATAGTGGTAGAACTAAGAGGGGCTGAGGAGGAAATCGTCCCCCAAGATTTTAAATAATTATGTAATCTCAAGTTATACATTCAAAATGTTGCCCTATTGAAACTAATTGTTCCCCTAGATTTTTAATAACTTATGTTTAATAATAATTACATTTTTTAATTTAATAACTTTTTTATATATATATAATTCAATTGGTAATAATTTTAGGTGTGGATTTGAAATATTTCTTGCTTGAAAATTTTTAAAGATATTTATAACTTTTAATATGGATATTAATTCCCAATTTTATCCAACAAATACAAGTATATAATAAATTCAATATTTCAAAATATATTTTTTAATTTCAAACAACTAATAAACAAATAAACAAACCATAAGCAGATTTGAAACATCACAGACTTTTTCCTCGGCTCACTCGGAATTCTTCATTTTACTTTCAACCATTGTATTATGCTATAAATTCAAACATGGCACAATATTTGAACAATCATGAATTTTAGGCATTGCTTATATAAAAGTTGGTTGCCAAGAATATTCACCATCCGTAAGTGATTTGCCCTTCATTAACTCATTGTCTAAACACTTCTATCAATATATATATGCATATAGATAGAGTGAGAGAGAGAATTTCCTACAATCAGTTCCAGCCAAAACAAATAAACTACATTAAATGCTCCATTGCAAAAAGTTCACACTTCCCACCAAACCAAACAAAAACTATTTTCACTTAACTCCAAGCAATAAATGAACATATCCTTACCTTACAATCTTCAAAATAATGACCCATAATAAAGTCATTTTAACAAACTACACACCAAAATGATAAAGACTTGCCATTTATTTGAAGTCTTAATAAAAATATCAAAATCAGTACCTTACCCCCACAAAAGAAAGGAAAAAGGATAACAACATCACTTCATCCCCCACATCTTTACAAAACCAACTAAGATCTCACAGACTGAGAATAAAAATCATGCTTTGCCAAGAGACAGTGCACTATGGAATGCCCCCATACTGTTCATAATAATGCCATTGTTACCCTCATCCCAAATACATGGAGTCGGCTTTATCAAACCCATGTTGTTCATCACAAAATTGCAAATCTTTTGCCTCACCTGCTCAATCTTTTCCACCAGAATTTCATCTTCAGTTTTACTCAAAACCTTATCGATCCAGTCGCTAACTCGCTTCAGGTGAAACACAACTGCAGCAACTCTACCATTGTCGTTAAAAGAAGTTCCTTGATCATCTTTGCTGTGCTCACCAAATATGAAAAAACCCACACTTATGGCTCCCTCCACAAACTTCAAAAACCAGTTTTGCATTTCATTTCTAAGTGTTTCTGCAAGCTTCAGTGTCTGCTCAACATCTTGTCCTCTGGTCCACAAGTTAGCAGCAGAACCAGTAGTTGAGGCTTTTGTTTGGCTTTTAGCATGAGTTCCAAGAGAAATCCTTTTAGATATGTTTGATTTTGGAAAATCTCCACATGGAATGGCTATTTTTTCGGAGATTTTGTGGCTATCTGTGGTGCTGTTTATAAGATTTAGAACTTCGAGATTGGTTGTCAGTGCTGCTTCAACCCAGAGGGAAGCTGACTTGGTTCTACTGATGGAAGATGAATCGGCAGGCAAATTACAAACGCGACTGGCAACAAGAGGTGCAGCTATTGAAGTCTCTTTCATAACATCATCATAGATGGATAAGAAAGTGTTGATTGTTCGCAGTAGATTTCCATTCTTTGATGTCAAGCAGAGTTCAGAAAACATGCTATATGGGAAAGAGATAAGATGTTGAATTAGACATAGTAGAGAAGGAAAATGGCGAAGAACATTTAAAGAACAAAAGTAAACCTTAAACTTCTGATAATGGATTCTGTAGCCAATGCTTCTTCCAAAGCTTCTGCTGCAGCAATGGCGGCAATGTTTCTCCTTGAAAAGGCTTCCTGTATTTTATGTATCAGTTAAGCACAAAAATTTTATCAGATAACTGAGAAATGTCAAAAACAAGATCATTTCTTGTTGATCTTACCCTGAATGAAAATTTGTTTGTCAGACAGGTTATCTCTCTAAGAATGCAAGAAAAGGTTCTGAGAGACTTGTAAGAGAATTTAAGGCAGAGCCAAGTTTAAACTTTTAATACCTTTCCAAGTCTTTCAAGGTTCTGAGAAACACTATCCAATGGAACGCTTCCGTCGGTCCACTTCCGGTCATAGACAGCACACTTTGGTGGCATAGGCATAGAATTCTCCACTACTGAGGCAACAGTCTTGATACTTTTTCGTCGCTTCTCCTCCGTTAATTCTTCCTCATTATGGGATTTATCCTTAACAGTATCAATTAACTGACATGCTGTGGCAACCTTCAATCATGTAATATATAATCAAGTCAAATAGAAGTTAAGTGAAGTGATCAAACATCACTCATAAAAAATACTAAAACTTAATTCACAACAAAATGGTCATAACTACATTGATAGGTCTAGTTTAATATGAAATGAATCTATAGTTTCATGAGTGAAAGAGTCTTTGATAACTCAACGCAAGCAACATAATTCTCTTTGCTGGTATATGATGAATCAGCTCATTTTGTAGTAATCATATTGCATGTGTCACTAATCCATGATAGTAGAGCACCTCAAAATGGCTTTTACAATTGCATTATTCATGGTTTAACATACTGGCACCACTGTTTCAAATCTTTACACATAAAACCATTTTCTAATTTACAATTGTTGTGAGATATGTACTTCCTGGCATAGAGATGAGACGAAAAAGAACACAAGCAAACACAGATCGTTTACGTGGTTCGATCCAACTGGATCTACGTCCACGGAAGATAATCAATGAAATAGTTCACTAAGGCAAAAGAAATGGAGAATACATAGCTTATACATAGAGATGAGCCCTCATCTTCCTTCTATGACCTCCCTCTCAAGCGACACCTTGATACAAGGCCTCAAGATGCTCTCCTCCTCTCTAACTCTATAGCTATTCTCTCCTCTTTTGTGGTAGCTTAAGATCTCTTCTCCCTTGCTCTCCTAAGCCTCACACCCTCTCTATTTATAGAAGCAAGAGAGTGGTAGGTGGGAGATAGGTGAGCGGTAGGTGAGTGGTAGGTGAACGGTAGGTGAATGGTAGGTGAGATGTGGTAGGTGAG